TTTTATTTTGACACAGCTTTTATGGAACAAACTCCAACCAGTCCTTTAGCTGTTGAAATGAACAAGATCAGTCTCTGAGTTCTCAGCTGGAATGCTCAAGGTTCAAGTCACTCAAACACACAGAAATCCAACAAACCTAGTTAAATACCCAAGAATCCTGAAGCAAGAAATCCAACGACAGAAGCACAAAGCCATAGCATGAATGGTTGCCTTCAGCAACCAGCCCCTCCCATGCCTCTCCTCTTTATGGTCCAGCCAGGGTGTGGCTTCTTAGAGTTTTTCACTTTTCCTGGAGAGCTGCCCCACTACCCTCCATTGTCCTGCGCACCTTTCCTCCCTGCGCATAAATGCATCTGGAACAGGCCCCAGCTATTCCTTGTCTTCACTCAGTTCGGGCCCCCAACCCAGCATGAGCATGAGTAGATGGGCCCGGTGTCACATCTAGCTCTGAGTCTTCGTGCTCCTCAGAGCCTTTCACAGACTCCAATGTGAATCCAGGCAACCCTTCCCCCTCATCTGACACTGCTGCCGGGTCCACTGCCAGGAGAGGACTGACAACAGATACTATGCTGCCTGAAAATGTTGATTACTTTTGAATGACAAAGTAAATTAAGGGCCTTATAAATTCAAAGTAACAAGTCATTCTTAAAAAAAAAAACTGGTGATCTTCAGTTGCCAATAAGACGAGGATGGCCAGATAGAGGCATGTGATGTGTATAGCAGAAAAGGGAGGATTTCTTGGATGTTACTGGAAAGACAGATGCGGAATGAGAGAAAGCATCAGTCACTCTCATAGAAAAAGGCAGATTGACCTTCTGATGAAAAGGTCACTTGCACACCTGGGAAAAGGTACTGCTGAGAACGTGTTGGCTGTTTCCTGGGAAAGAATCAAAAGAAAAAAAGAAACACCAAGCCCACATGTGTATGCATGTTACCCTTACATATTGGTTCAACCTGGCTGAGATGATAAAAATGTGATTCACTCATTGCAAGTCAGATCTTGTAATCAGACACTCAATAGGGTCTTCTTGTCAACAAATCCTTCTTATTGTATTTCTCTCTATATTTTGAGATGTCAAGAAGACTGGTGTTGTGTGTAGATGGATTTCTGATCCTTCCTTCCTTCCTTCCCCTCCATTCCCTCCCCTCCCTTCCCTCTTTTTGTTTTCACTGTTCATCTTGAGGCAGACAGTTTTACATACACAGTGTGTGGCATTTTTCAGTACTGTCAGCTGATTTGCATCTTTTGTTCTTTCCTTTGGATTTGCATTGATAAAATACAATGCAGGAAAAAAATGTGAAAAGATTCAGTAGTATATCTGTTCACATCACTTTGTTCTAGTTCTATGCAAAAATATTCACAAGTGTCCTTGTTAACATTCAACTCTGGG